TTTTTGTATATTCTTTTATGATGACCTTTAAAAATAACTTTAGAATATGACTCATATTAAAATATTTTACAGAATTTTAATATTTTATGTTATTTGTTTTTTTTTAGAGCATGATCAACTTTTAAAATTTAAATAGTTATATTTATTTGGATTCTTTAATTAAGAATAATTAGCTTAAAATGTTAAGTGGTCCATTATGAGTTTTGAACAAATAGTTTTAATGTTAATAATGTTCAAAATTTAAGACGGTGGGTGGAGTGCTTACAGATAAAAATAACATTTTTACTGCACCCTTCTTTTCGCCTGAGTTTTTCTAACTGAGTTAGATGGCTCGGAAAAAATAATTAGTAGCGTGCTACTGCCAAGTATAGCAAAATAATATAGTGATAAGGAACACACTTTGGATTGATAAAGCTATGACCCTTGGATGAGTTGCCAACTGTGTCCTGGTTAGCCGTCCGGTTTCTTAGCGGATGTCGAAGCTCCGTCGTCACAGTGAGTTTAAAAAGAGATTGAATGGAGACAGGACACATACGTGGTGTGAACGAATCGCAAGACACGAGTACTTGAAGATAGAATGAAAGGATAAAGTACAAGGTATTGAACAAACGATGTCTTGATAGCGACAACCGAATACTCTTGATTGATGTACAAGACGTGGTGGACTGAAGTCGACTGACAAAGAGCATTGACAATTTCCGCTAATTTACCAACACATAATCACTGTAACCACTGTCGCCAACTATAAAAGAAGATTTTCTTGGATTTGTAGCATTAGATAATTTAAATGCAGAAAGTTTTGCATATGTATTTATTCAATTGTTGTTTGATTGGGGATGAGATTCGAACAAGTTCTAAAATCTGGCCATATTAGTGGTGTACAAAAACGAATTCAAGACAATACATTTTTTAGAAAATGATGAGTAAGCAGGGTAGTTTTTTTCTTGATCATTTTAACTCTAGTGGTTACATTTTAAAACGTTATAAACGTTATGGAACACTTGTACACACAAAAAAATGATACGCCTTGATTTTAGAAATCGAGAAAAAAAACCGATAAATTTACATATTAAATTTTGTCGACTTATAATTATTAAAGACCTAAGATCTCCCTCCCACCCTAATATGCTTCTTTACCACTATGCCCCGTTTCCACTGTACTGGCTTTTCTAATTTTACTTTTGTTTTAAAACTTTTCCAATACACATTTTGCTATTAAGTGGATACAATATTACATTTATGTGTAATCACAAAATATGTTTTAAGTTTAATTAAGTCATAAAAAAATATTATACTAAATATCAGCGTGTACAAATTGGTAATTACAGACACAGTATACATTGAAATCATCAGACTTATGTAATTTTCCCCCATTATTTTAATAACATTTTAACATATTTTTTCTTAAAACGGCAGTTGAAAAAATGTATAATCTGTGTGCTAAAATATAAAATTGTATATCTGTGCTAGAATATTGTCAACCTAAAATTTATTATTACTTTCGAATTTTAATGTATCAAGTTATATTAACAAGTGTTCAAACAAATGCGAAAAATGTAAAATTCGAGGGCAACGATTTTATACAGTAAAAATTCGAAAAATACCATATTATTTGGCATTACACCGAACAGAAAATGTATTACAACACACTAATTTCTAGAAAAAAAAAATCGTCCTGTTACGATCATTTATTATAACTATAAAATCTGACATTCAGTACAATGTTTAAAAAAAAATCAAAATAAAGAAAACCTAAAGCTAAGTTTGATAGTTATTTAATTTTAACTTTAACCCCCTGTAACTCTGATAGAAAACCCTTTCCCCGCATTTCTTTCTCATATTGTATTAATGCCTAATTTACATAATATTATGAGTTCGATCAATCATAAACTTTTACCCTATTTTAATAAATTAAACATAAGAATCTTGTATCTAATCGCTTGAACCGTGTTTTATACGTTATTAAAAAATGCACAAAGCAATTACAATCATAAAACTTCTAACTTAGTTTTTATAAGTTAATAAAAAGAAACCCAAAACTGAGGTTTTTCACATCATCCACGTGCTTTAGATTCCCTTTCTACTTATAACATATCTATACCATCTCAGTTTATTTTCTCCCTTTTTTCCGCTGTGGCAGCCGCTTATGTTACCTCTTGTGTATTCGTTCCTTATCCTATCTTTTCTCGTCACTCCACTCATCTACAAAAACATTCTTATCTCCACTACACTTAATCTCTGTTCTATTTTCCTGTCTACCGCCTAATACTCTGGATCATACAACACAGTTGGTCTCAATACACACACATGTTATACTTAAAATTTAAAAAATATATAAAACAAACTTATTTTTGTATATTTGGGAATAAAGACATGAACCTAAATTTTAGCGTCGAAGTGGAACTGAGAAGGTTAGGTATTTCCAATGATGTGTTAATTTTTTGCCTAGAAGGGATAGACATTTTTTCTTTATTTCACTTTTTCAAGCAATGTCTTAGGGATTTAGGTGTGAGAACTAGACCAAGGGTGGATTTCGAACGGAACTATAACATGTACTATTTTTTTTAAAATCTGTCGTCAAACTTTTTTATATTAAGTAAAACCCCGAACAATAAAGGGAAAACTATACATTGGCTGTAGTAAATACCCAATTAAAATGTTTTCATTAAATTGTTATTTACGATAATATATGAGTAACTATGGCAATACAGTTTCGTAGACAGTTACTACTATTATCTTACGTTCTATACATTTTTGTAGTGTGCTGGTTTATTCTGTGCTTGGTTTGGATTTTACTGATTCAAACCTGATACACTGTCTACACACAGATTCGCATCGAAGTGTTTATTTAAAAGTAATTTTATTACTTTCAGTTATAATCATTTATGTAGACCTAATACCTCTCATCACTGTTTTTTTTTTTATAAATTACCCTAGCGCACCTAATTTTTAGTCGTCATTAAAAACTAAATTTATTTATTTTTTTTTTTTTTGGTTCTTTTGGACATAAATATTTTTTTCATATTATTTTTCGTTCTAAAATTTTATCATAGGTATTTGTTAGGCAGTACGAAACAAATTTCATATTGTACTCTTTTTAAAGTACACATTAGTGCTACGCGAAATTGTAAAACCAATAAATAAAAAAAAACTACGAGTCTAAACTCCACGTCAGTATAACAAACACGTACAAAATATATCCTGTCATCTAAAAAAAAAACAAAATACATACGCAAATGAATCAACACTGCAAAATATTTTTCGATTTTACTGTTTTGGACGATATACATTATATGCCCGTAGATAAGACAAAAAAAAGTCACTTCAGAACATTTATTTGAAACAACTGATTTTTGTCGTAAAAATTGCGTCATCTCCATTATTTAAGTAAGTAGTAATAACAAGCATTAAATATTGTAATTATGCTTTTAACACGGTTCGGCGAAATTTTTTCATATTAGTGTTAAGATATAAAATTGTATTATTTTTTAATTTTTTATTATGGCTTCAGCAGCTAAGCTATTAGCCAGACATTGGTTAATTAATTACAATATACATAATTGAGCTTTTATAATACAACACATTTACACATTATTATATATGTTGATATTTTTTTAAAAAATGAACAATTTGGGAACATTCTCGGTTCTCAATATGGTTTTGAGGCTTCTGTCGTTACCAAAAATATTTCTTTTGTCAGACCACCGACGACAATCGATAATTTATATGCTTAATTGTTAGCTCCATGTCACATACTTCACATCTAGTTTGTGGTTCTTTGTTGATAAGGTGGAGATGAGTAATCCGGAAGTGTCCTATTCTTAGTCTTGCCAACGTAGATTGTTCCCTCCTAGACATGTCATTGTACATTCCATTGTATGTTATAATAAAGTTAATCTGGTGAAGTTTGTTAGTGGTTTCTTTTTCCCAGAGGGATTGGAAAATTGTATTTTCTATTATATAATATCTTATACCTACATACTAAGTTAAACAAAAAGCCATGAAATTTAAAACTATAGAAATTGTGAAAAACATTGTATTTAGTTTTAGAAAAAGTATAGTTAGGTTTTGTGCAAAAAACATATTTTATCTAAAAATGGCTTTTAAGTTAAATACATAAAATATTAAAAATTAGACGTATCAGTCTGTCGTGAGCGCTGAAGATGACAACATTGTTGCCGAAATACGGCGTATTCGCGGAGAGTATATAATTTTTATGGTTAAGGATTTGTATTATTTTTTTATTTCGTATCAGTGTATTTGCTATAATTATTCATTATTGTATTATCAAGGTTCTACCGTACAAGAAATACAATTTAAATACAAAAACAGTATTAAATACAATAATAAAATTATGTTGTTTTATCATTCGTGTATAGGGGGGTAAGGGTAGGTGTATATCAAGATGATGTAATAATTGCGGGTAAAACGATACAGCAACATAACGATAGGTTAAAAAAATTACTTGATGTTCTTTCGGAATCTGGTTTAAGAGTTAAAAGAAATAAATGTTGTTTTTTTAAAAAATCAATTGAATATCTAGGTCATAAAATTGATGAGCAAGGCTTACACACATTGTCAAAACACACTGACGCTATTTCTTCAGCTCAAATTCCAGAAAAAAAAACAATGCTTACATCGTTTTTAGGCTTGGTAACATATTATATTAAATTTATACCTAATGCAGCAGATATTTTAAAACCACTTTATTTGATTCTACATAAGGATATTAAATGGCATTGGTCACCAAATTGTGACAAAGCGTATAAAACAATTAAGGAAATTCATACATCTAAACCCGTGTTAACACATTATGATCACAAACTTCCTCTGAAGCTCATTGTAAATTCATCATCTTGTGCTTTAGGGCGCAATTATTTCACATGTATACCCAGATAATACTGAAAGACATATAGCTTTTGCATCAAGGGTTTGCGATTGTAATATGAGTTTTTTGTATCATTTTCAGATAAAAATGAAACTTATTTGTTTTATAATGACATTAGTCGTTGTAAATAGTTTGGCAGTACTCTATAGTAAGTATTACAATTTTTTGAAGTACTTGTGGTTCACAGTGGTGTTGGGAATCCAAAAGTCCGTATTAAAAAAAAAACGCTTAACTTTGACTAAAAATGGCTTTTGGATTACGTAATAATTCAGTTTTTAGATTTCAACAAATCCAAAAGCAATATATCTTTTTGTACATTGTCTTCGAAAGTATATAATTTAGGCACACAACTTTATATTGTGATTATATTTTAAGTATCTAAGTGACTTAGATAGTATTGTTGTGTGAAAATCCGGATTTTCGTATTCCCTCCACTAATTTAAATACATGCATGTAGTCTCACAGTCCTTTACACATATCTAATAATTGTCGATAAAAATATTAAACTCTTTTTTTTTTTTTAGTGAAATATAAGGAGGAAGTATACTTATCAAGTCAGTCTACCCGATAATTATTTATCCATAAGATATAACTTATAGTTGTAAAATAAATTTAAAATGTATTCAAATATTTGGTTTACCATTTAAATTTCAGACTACTTTTTTGAAAAAATATCAGAAAATAATTTAAGTAAGTTATTAAATAAATTGAAAAATAATATATTATAGAATTATACGTTAATTAAAGAACTATAATCTCCCTGTTCTGGTTTTTTAATATATTTACATCATAATATAAATAAACAACATATAAAACCATTTGTTATTCTAGGTGCAGTGGACGCATCGATCGAAACGTTAATACGTTTAAATTTACCGATTCGTAAGCATAATAATCATTATAATAGTTATAACGTCTACATATTACCAATGACTACATGAATATTTTTTTTAAACATTTATTTTAAAACCAAATAGTTTTTCCACATTAGGAGCTTGTGATACTCGCTATTTTTTTAAACTATATCAGCCTAAAGTAAAATATAATGAAGTATGCAAAAACAGGCGAGCTGCAGTGTGAACAGAATAACAAAGTTACATTTGTCTGGTACTAACTTTTAATTATTTTCACTACTACAACCAAGCGAAACAAAATAGTTTCAAGTTATCATTTGTCATATTATCACATTATATCATATAAAAGTCGAATTTATCAATTGATCTGTATAGGTTAATAATACTCTACAGTGCAGTGTTTCACACTGTTTACGCCGTTGCTATCACTGTGACGTGTTTACATCCAGTGCAAACTATATTTAGGTACGGCAAAACCAATGTTTTGTTTACATAGTTGTTGTTATCATAGCAACGCAATGTTCTTACTATAGCCGGCCCTCTAACCAATGGGAGTACTCGACACCACTGTAACGGTCACATTTCACCCGGCCGTTACTTCGCGCCCCGAACCTATTGACACATCACTAATTACCTAATTAGGTAGGGAGCGCTGACACACTGAGATGACATTCGTGTTGCATGCGATTGTTATGCTTTAGAGTCGAGATTTACCATCACGCGCCTACGCATACCATACGGCCTTCTTTATCATTATTTGTGTACCTTAATTCGCCTACTGTTATCACCGGTCATCTCTGTGTGCGCACCGCTCGACTCCGGTCTGATCCAAACATCACCAGCCAGTATTCAGGTCAGACTGTATATATATATATATATATATATATATTGCATATTTTGTATATTGATTCACCACTGCTTCTTTAGTTATTAATAAATACTTTGTAGCCTGCATAACCTGAGTGTCGACTACCGTTATTTTAGTGTGACCGCCCGTTAAGCTCCTCGGGCGATATATTAAACTTATAAAGGAGACTTTAGGGTTACTTAGGCGTAAAGCGGACTAGCCAACCGTTTCCCGTCAGGAGCCGTCTATTTTAGCCTTATCGACGAGCACTTAGACTAGAGGGAATAGACTACGGACACGATCCCCAAACAACTACACTAAATATATACGTATTACCCTCAGGTTGTGTAGAGGTTTGTAATTTAAGGTACAAATTGCTTTGGAGAATTAAAAAATTATAAGTCGACATATTATACAGCAAATTAATTATTAAATTCATGTCATTGTATACATAATACAGTAAATATTTCATAATAAAATTATTAGTCATATAGGACATTAAGTAACATACTTAAATACAATTTACGATTTTATTTTTAATATACATTTTTATTATTTTGATTAATATGTAACATATGACGCTGTATAATTATTATACAGCGTCATGCAGCATTATATTAAAAGAAAGGATAATAATCGAACTATTCGTATTAATGCGCGATCGTGGGCAATACTAGGTTTCGAGCGTAATATAGATTTAGAAGATATAACATCAGTAGATTTAACAAACTATTTTAGGAACGCGCAACAAATTCATACCGCAGAAGCATTTGCTCAATGTCCGAATATTAAAAGCCCACTAGTGAACTTGCCTATTTATGAATACGAGAATTATTTAGTATTAAAGACTATTAGTAATAGGAAATACACCTTCTCACAATTTAAAGCTAGGTCTTTAGGTGAAAAAATTAATTTATTGAGAACAGATCGCAAGGGTTATTTATATCGTTTCTGTACGAAGAACGACCTTGTTAATATATTTGCTCAGTTAGGAGAAGAGGTTTCAGAAGCATCTTTGATAGGAACCTTAAAAAACATATTAAGGGAAAAATTTAATTAAACCCCATTGCCGACCACGTATGGTAATTGAGAAGAGGATAGTGATAGTGATAATTTAAACAAACCAGTAGTTGATCCAAATAGTCTTCTCAACCTTGCTGAAAATACTGACAGTACTGCCTCGTCTGACGATTTAGATAATACCGTAATTCATATTGAGGAAAATAGGGAAAAACCCGCAGTAGATCAACCATCAACCTCTAACGTAGTACAACCCGCAGTAAATCAACCATCAACCCGTAGCGACGTTACACCACCATACCCCCGATCAATCAACATCGACCATGTCATAGCATGTGACTATATATTAAGGTCCACGTGAGCTCAACTATCAGTCTCTTAGAGGGAACCAAAAAGTCATCATCTTTCAACAGTCAAGTCAAGATTCAGTATCATTACCGGTATCCACTTAAGCTTATCTTCTACCCGCTTAAACAAGCGAATAAAAACACTTCCCTCAGTGAGAAAATGACCAACACGCTAGCATCAAGTTTAACGAACAACTTGAGCACGCAATAACCGCCACCGGCGGAAACACACACCTTGTAATGAAATAATTGATTTGTATTAAAAATGATCACACTATATCATATGTAATGCTATTTATTTACTTTGTTGCTGTGTATTCAACACATGACTGTGCAGGAAATTATTTGTTACAGCTCTCTATATTTTTACTGTATGACTTAACTGTATTGACTCCTGCTTTTCCAATTTAATGCTGCGTAAAAAGATGTTTACCGATAACTTTTTCTTCATTTCAGATAGGTTGGCTTTGATGTTGGTCACCCCAGGTAATATAGCACAATGCCTCAGACATTATACAATTTTTCTTTTTATTGACATGGATATGTCTTATGGCTGGGGGTTATTTTGAAAATTTGTTCGTTGTCCGTCACGTTTTGTGCGACATAGTAAGTGTCACAGTGCTGACATCATTATGGAGGGATTATGTTATGAAATAAAGTTAAGAGTATCCACACTTCATGTAGATACATCAAGTTGCAAGATATATTAGGATAGTCGAATTAATTTGTTAGATAGGCACTTACTTACTGACGAACCACGGAAATTGATTTTTGTGAAATGTTAAGTATTTATAAATGTTGCCAGTAAATTGATTAAGGCCCGATAATATAAAACTACTAAAAAACGTTTGGCCAGAACATATAATTAAGACTATACTATTATCATGTATCGTAAGTAGATTATAAATCGGAAATAATCATATAACTATCAGGACATATCCATGTATTGGTGTATCTGCATGAAGTGTGGATACTCTTAACTGAGTTTACTCAGTTTTTTTTTAAAGTATTTTTAACAGATACGATCGATACTTAATATTAGTTAATATATGATATTCCAGAAAACGCAGAAATTAGTCAGGACGGCGAATATCCGAAAGGTAATGAACTTAGAGTATATTACAACCAATATTTATTACTATGTAGGTATCGTCAAGTAGTCCTTACTTATTTTTATTTTTTAAAACTAGTGACGATTTCCCTCTCAACTTCAAAGTAAAGCATTTTTTTATTAAGTTAATATCTCAACTCCAACATGGAACATAATAACATTTTATTAATTTGTATTTAATAATAATTTTAATGGATACAGCACCGCCTCCTCCCCATTACTGGAAGCAAATAAAAACAATTTGTGTAAAGGTGTTAACATACTAAATGTTGTCGATCAAATATAAAAATAATGTGTATACAGTATACTATGTTTAAAAATAACTAAAATAGTTGTATATAAGCTTGAGCGTTTATCTATTTAATACAAATAAGGGAAGGATTATAGTTGTAATCATGATAGGCAAAATCACTGCTCTATAATAAATAATACTGATAAAATAAATGTATAACATTTATTGTGTTTTTAATTTTAGAAGTGGTGAATGACGAGAAGTTAATACGGGATATACTACATTCAAACCATAGTAAGAATGTGCATTAATTAATTAAAAAAACCTACACAAGTAAGATTGGTAAAGTATCAGTTAGGTCTTGCAATTATTTAGATCTCCAATGATATTTTATAAACCACAAGAATTAAAACCTATACAAGCTAGAGGGTTCACTGAGGATCTAGGTATCCTTTTTTCTTGCTCTAAGATCAAATACGTAATTGTTAAAATAATGATTAATATTTTATATACTAGGAAGTATGTCACAATATGCTGTTTGCCTTTATAATAAAAATATTTAGTCAACAGGAAAATGTTATTGAAAAACAAGATTGTTTTGTAAACACTCGTGCAGTTGTGCGCGCGTGTACAACCTTGTAGTTTTGAGTTAAATAGCATTTGGTTTAAGGGTTCTGGGCTCATTCAATCTGTATCTTTTTTATGTATAACATAGTGTGTTATTGTTACACTGTTTATTATACTATGTAATATTATAACATACTATTTCAATAACTATATGTGTTTGACAATAGTAGTGTGTTTAATCATTTGATTTATTCGTGTTGTGTCATTTATTCATATACTATTACCACTCGCTTCCACTCTTAGTTATATACTAAATATTAATGTAAAATATTTCATCAAAAATGCTATTTTTTTCATTGTTCAAATTATAATGATTATAAAGGTCATGTTTTTATGTTCAATTTATTAGGATGAGAACTTCGAATAATGCGCGAATTGTAAAAATTGAAGTAGGACGTTAGCACGTAAAAGAACGTATCGAACGTTTTTCCAAAAAAAAAAAACACCAATTAGTAGGGGAATGTTACAATTTACAAAGAACTTATTGGGATACTTAGTTTCACCATGACCACCCCCCCCCCCCAATTGAGTACAATCGTTAATTGTTTAATTTTAATACTACGGAATTTGTTTTCGTTACAGGAATCGATGAAAGGCCTGATATGTGGGGTATGAATAACAAAATATTGAAATACTTATAAAATCACTTTTATTTTTCTCGTTTTCGGATGCGTAGGAGAGTACTTTTTCCAATTTTTTCCACAACAATTTTTCTAAGTATGACTTGTGATTTATAGTCTGAATATATATTATGCGAAGGGTCAGCCAACGGTAATCCCATAAATCTAGACCCACAAAAAAAAAAAATTTGGAACAAACACTTAACGAAATCCTCTCAATTTCTTAACGTCTCGCCTTTATTTATATATTTATATTTAAAATTAAAGTTTATTTAAAAATGTATAATTTAAGATTTTCGTACCAGTAATTTGGAATCTTTGGGAAACACCAGAAGAACTGTTACTAACCCATCTTTAAGTCGTTTACTTAAGGAAGTCGAAAGTATGTATAACACAGAGGGTCGCAATAAGTAAAATATTATTAAGTCAGCGAAAAGGCGAAATGCAGTGTGGGCAAAACTACTTTTGTCTAATACCAGTTTTTAATTTATTTCACTACTGCAACCATGTCATACTAAACATATGACTATCAGTTGTCTAGTTATCGTATTATATAATATAAAAATTCCAATTTATCTATTGATCTGTATATGTTATTATAAATTATACTGTGCAGTTCTTCACACTTCGTCATTAAATACATGCTTACTTCGTGTTTGAGTACATGACATTATATTCTGATGAAGTAAGCGAAAAGGCGTGATGCAGTGGGGTCAGAATGACGAAATTATATTTATCTAGTGTCAATTTTTAGTTGGTTCTGCTACTGCAACTATTACATACAAATTATAAAACTTATCAGTTGTCTAATTATCGTATTATATTATATATAAAATAATTGTTCACAGGTGGATCGCGACCTGATTTTGACCATCACCAGACATGTTGTTTAATAGCGTTATACATAACTGGAATAGTTCCAACATACCACGTAGTTTTTAGCATTGTCGTTGTAAATGACGGACACCATGATTGTAGTCATATTGATGAATCGGAAATTGTTACAGTGTACAGAAAGTTTGAAGATGGATACTGGAAAGTCAAGGATGATTTTAAAAGACATGTTAAACTCACCAAACCTACAAATATGTAAAAATGTTATTGTCATAAATCGCTATTTAATTTTATTTTCAACATACTAAAATATAATATATAGACATGGAAACATAAACCATAAAAATATAGTATTGATATCACTATATAAATTAATTATCAATACGCACCAAATGTAATTGATATTATTTACTGTTTTAATTCGTAAATTATAATAAACATGTTTTTATCTATAGAAATATAATGTTTTTTTTTTAATGTTCATTGTTCAAATTCCCTGAGTCCGATTCACACCTATTATTATTGTTGTTACATATTGATGGCTTAATATTATAATAGGTTTAATCGAAGTTCGTCGTGTAATATTAATTATTGTTACAATTTTTATCTAACGATGCCAAGAGTCATTATTTCGCATTTAAAGCTATTTTGTCAACTACTCTGTGGACTGTGGAATCCTTAGCTCTAAAGCCGAATTGAGTCTTAGGTAATCAAAATGTGTTTGTTGTTAAAATTAGTCGAATCCTTTTGAGAACAATTTTGCCATAACTGGGAGTAGACTTATTGTTCTACACGGCTTCCTCGTTAAGTTTTCCCTAACCCACTATACAATATCTCCTCCTCTATTCCCCCACATCTAATTAATTATATTTTTTTGTTTCTGTTTATCTCAACGATATCTACAGTTACATCAATATATTGTTTATTACATATTATGTATAAAATCTCACATTTTGTTCAAAAGCAACCTAAACAACTTAATAACATAAGTTTAAAATTCCCAATCGTTTAAAGTCAGGGTATTCCATTTATACAATTTTGATCTATTTAACTAGTATATAGTTTATATATTACAAATATATAGTTAAAAAGAGGTAGTTGAATTTTAAGTGTAGCGGATCCACTTTCAAATAAGACTAAAGAGTGTTCAAGATAAAATGTTGTACAATTACAATATTACTATTGACGTAAAATAACATTTTTGATTGGTTCATATAGATCACGCAAAAATATTGATCACTGAGACACCAAGTTTTTAACAATAATAATGCGTACATATAATTCTAAAAAGAATACAATATATCAATAATGTGTTGCTATTTCAAAAAAAGGAGTAAAAAAGAAGTCCGTAACAATGGTTTTTAGGGACTCTTTGGTATACAGCTGCTATAAACCGTCGACTGCGACTGATATATTGCAAAACAAATAAATATACTTGATATTGACACTGTATGATACAGAGTGATATTGGAAAAATATTATTAAAACTATAAGAAAAATATTGTGGAATTTGCTTTGTTGTACACAACTAAAAGGAGTGCTATCATTTAGTTACTGTACTCAGATACGTTTCACGTTAAATGTATACATTTTATAAAACGTTTAAAAACTAATAGTATTTTTCATAATTTTATATTCATTTTTTTTTTTTAAATAAGTAAACCATGTTTTTCTTACGAATATCAATAGTTATAATGATTTTTACTCTTTTTCAAAACGGTAAAGCGGTTGAGACAGGGTCAAGCCAAACGAACGTCTATATGTATACGAATATGGCAGTTCAGTACAACAATTTAATGAAAATCGATACGGGATACTCACATTCAGATATTACAAATGCGCAAGTTTTGCATAATTTTATATTGCAAGAAAATGTCACTGAAAGTACGGTACCGAACGTGAGAGCTAGAGTCTACAGAAATTTGCTGTGTAGTTATGTGTTCACATTCCGGTATTACATGAACTTGATTAAAGATCTGGTAAACGGAGCAAGTGAAGATTTTTTTATAGTGTTTCATCCAACACAATCACTCTAAAACTGAGAGTGATTAGATAAATTAATCAATACAAAATATTTTCTGTAAACATAAAGTTATTTCTTATAGCGACGTTTGAATAAAAGGTTTGAATCTTATTTCAAGCGGTCGTCGAGCATTTAAACAAACAACCAATAGCTTTATATATATGGCTTTAATTTAAATAGAATTTTCATATTTTTACCTAAGGACCTAAATATTATACTTACGTAATATATACAATGTTTCATATCGCAATATCAACTGTAGATAGGCGCCTTCTGAAAATGTAAACAAAAGAATAACATTATAAATTATATTAATCTGAGTACGGAATTGTATGTAAAAATGTGGTTACTCTGCAGTTGGTCAGGGTATATATTTTCTGAAATAAATACGAAAACACTGTATACTTTATGAATATCAAAAAAAAATATGTGGAAATATTTCCGTAAAATGCAACGAAAATGATTACCCGGTGTAGCGATCATCATATTTAATTCGTCTGAAACAAATATGAAAGACATTGGATTTTAATTTTTTATGTCCTGTTTTAAATTAAACGGCGGCGGTAAAGATAGAAAAAATATGTGCACAATTAATATGGGAAAAAAAGTGCTTAGCTCGATTATAATATAGTATGGATACAATATGAAAACATAATAGCTGAATCGAAGCAGATGTATGAGTGAATTATAACGATTGAATGTAATAGACAAAACAGCTATTATCAAACTCGCTTTCATAAACATTCCGTTTAAATGTTAGATTAAATTTTAAGATTTCCATTACTAATAATTTTGCTTAAATATGAATTTTATAATGCAATTTTCGAAAAAAATTTAAATAATTTTTTCTACTAGCAAGTTTAATGTGTTTTTATTATTATACAACTATTACTACCCAATGAACGATTCTGACGAACCAGTGTTTTAATCAAATTTTCCAGTCCACCTAGAATGAACAAAAAAAAGTTTTAAATAAATTCATAATAGATATAAATATCATCAGAACAAGATAACACCATACTTTAAGCGATGACCATTAACTTAACGCTACTTCCCCTGTTGGGTTAAACGGTTACTGACTATAGGCAAGTGTGCTTTAAGTAAATTAGACTGCTATTTTAAGTTTAAATTTAAATGATAACACATATTGTTTGGTACTAACATCTCGTACACTATTAATCTGAACAGATCATCAAAATTACAGTTGTTAATTTATAAATCGTTTGACGATCAGGTAGTATAACACAACTATAATTTTATTATATTAGTTTGTTATTTTTTTATATATCTTACTTCCATGTTTCTTTTTATATTCAGAAGCTCTCTTGGTTGCTTTATCTATAGTAAATTATTTAAAAAATATTAATTCAAAACTTAAAATCTAATTAGTGAGCAAACAAAATGCTACTGACTAGCCATAAAAACATGCTGCCTATAATCCTCCTTATAATCCTCTGTAAAGAAGAGTTAACAGAAGAGTTAAAGAAGAGTTAAATATTATTTTTTTTTTAGATTGTTAACTATCTGATGTAGCTTAAAATAAAATAATTACTCAAACCGTCAGCCAAAACATTTACTAAGATAAATGATACAAAAACCCAGATAATTTTCATTTTTGTCTGCAAATAATAATAAATATAAAAACAGTTCATATTAGTCGCAGTCAACTCCGGTGCGGAGATGAGTAGGTTTTTATTTTAAGACGAATTTAAAATTTTGATATATTATTATGATGCTCATTTTTTTTTTCTAGTTTGATGATATTTCTTAGAGTCTCTGAAATTATTTTATTTGTATAGCAAATTAGGAATCATACTTAAATTCTACTCAATTCGACCAAATTTTTAATTAGGTTACCCTTCTCCTGCACATTCATTTTCTTTGAAAACAATATCAATATTATGACATTTTCTTTTTAAAAACATCCTAACTTTTGTTATTGTATAATATTAGACAACTATAAAATATTTGCATCTAGTAAGTACAAGATATTAAATTGCTTGAACTTAAGATACTTATTATATAAATTAAAAATCTCACCAATTCTGATTTAATGCGCAATTACAACATTTAAAGCTTGATAGTACTACTTACTTAAATAATGAACTTTTGAGACAAAGATTAGTTCATTCAAATAACTGTTCTGAAATGACTTTCTTGTGTCTTGTCTACGGGCATACTATATTGTATATCGACCGAAATAGTAAAATCGACTTATAGTTTGCAGAGTACCTCTGTTTATTTATGTACATAGCTGGTTTTTTTAAATTTATATCGTCTAACAAATGACTATGTTAAAATTTTGGAACAAAGAATATTGCCATATTGTATACATATATATTGAAGCAGCCAAAAATATATAATTAGTAATTTAGTTTGTTATTTAATGACAGCTTAAGACCGGGTTTCAAGGCGGAAAAGGGTAATTTATATCTATCTACAGTATTTAAAAAATAATGGATTGATGAGATACAAGTGAAAATAATTTGAGGTACTGCTATAAACAACTATATTAAAAAAGAACACAAATTAGAGGTTCAAATCCGTATTCCCGAATTTGCAAAAATAAGTTTTTAAATTATAATTGTAACATATTATTGTGAGAGTGTAGTGAGGCCAACTATTTATTAGGAAAATAGATAGAACAGAGATTAAGGGCAGCTGAGATAAGAATACACGCTTTAGTAGATGAATGGAGTGACTTCGATAGCGGTCAAAATGAGAGAGAATAGACTGAGATAATTTAGACATGTTATGAAGAGAGAGAGCAATCTAGAACACTTGCAAAAAAAATAGTAATGAAAATGAACGCAGAAGGAAAGGGGGAAGAGGAAGGCCTAACCGTCAAACTTTCTTGGATAAAATAGCTGTTTATTAAAAAAATCGACCATCGTGTGTTTGTTATGTTTTCTTTCTATCAAATATGTAGGTATTTGAGTACATAGATTAAAAAGTTTTGATGAAATTTTCATAGTTGATAATTACTCAAATAATTATTGGAGTTCGAATATAAAACATTTTTTTTAGTTGGTAACATGTTTTCAAAACGATTTAGAGATCACGTTATTTATTATTTGTTTTGGGTTTTTCAGCGCAATATCATTCTACAAACGAGTAGGTATATTTGTTTGTACTAGTATAAAAAAATGTGTTTTTTAAACGTATTTCGTTTGGTTGTCTGTGTTTTTATATGTTTAAGCGGTTTTCTTGCGCGAGTACTGTATATTTACATAAGTTAAGAAATAAAATAGGTCAACGATTAAAGTACAAAAACATTTGATAAAAAAAAATGAATAATAAAACTATAAAAATTGTTTTTTTTTTTAATAAGAAGATTTTTATAATATTCAAAGTATGTAATACCTACATGACGTTATAGTTTGATTACATTACAACAGTAGCTGTGGAAAATAGCTTGGGTTAGCAGATAACATTTTATCTTCAATTAAAATAAAATTTCAAAATAACTATATATATTTTTTGTAAAATTTGACAATTCTTGAAATGTAATAACATAAAAGCTCAACATACAAACCAAGCAAATCTCTTAATCTATTTAACGCAATAAAATGTATTTTTGATTTTGTAAAATAAATGTAAAATATGCTTAAACTCAAATACAATACAAATAAAGTGGAATACAAAATATTAAAAGTATTTTGTTTTATCATTTGTTTATTTAAATGTTTGAACTATTTATGTTCTTGCATTGTAGAACCCTGATGTTACAATAATAGATGAATTTTTGAATTCGTATTCAATACATATAATAAATAATAAACCCAACTGATACATTTTATTTTAGAAATCTTGAAATAATAATAATTAATTAAGGGAATTACGTACTTGGGCTGTCAGGCGGCACAGGAGGATGAGCTGTGTCCGTTAGATAGATTTTTTTAAGTGATTTTATCACTTAAACGATGATATTGCATGAAGTTCTGTAATCAACCGACACCCTTAACCTACCCTAATGCGCTGCATGAAGTTTTTTTTTTTAATTTTTAGACGTTTAGGTTGTAAGAGCTGGAAATTAGCCTGAATATAGGTCAAACATACCCGTATATACCTAACATATAACCAATACCTGTAACTATACTTATGTAAAAAAATGTAAAGACAACATTTATAAAGAAAACCCAAAAAATGACTAACACTGTAAACATTGATTATTATTATATTCTAACTATTTTGCACATTATTTACATTTTGTGAAATATTCAGTGGATTTTTGTTCGTTATCTTAGCAAAAAAATTGTATTATCCTTAATGGAGCATTTGTATTCAACATAAAATATACATTTGATGTATCTTTATTATTGACTTGTATTCTATTAGATAAGTGTATTAAATATAATTTGTATTAAATACTATATAAAGCGTTTATTGTTTTGTTTTTGTATATTAAAATTGTAAAAAGTGACTCATTGTAGCTAATGTAAGACTTAGGGATTACTGACATATTTTATTATAAGATTTACTGATAATACTGTATTTTAGCTGAATGGAATTCAATGTATAATTTGTAAACATGTATAAAATAATTACTTATATTATGCAAAATATGGGTAATGGAGTGTTTTAAAAAGAATTACTATTTTGTATTTATAAAATAAAATTGGGTAAATGTTAGGTTAATATTTTTTTTTTGCCTGGTTTTTGTCGAGTGTAATGTGAATGATTTATCCTCATTATTATTCTCCCTATAACTATTAGTTATTATCAAATGACAGGCTGACATTAGATGCATGCAGTTTTATAAAATAATTTTGATAAATATATCCGATATTTATATATTACATTGAAATATTTTAAATATTGGGCAATTATTATGTTTTTAACGTTAACCGAAATTATTTATTACTAACGTTTTGTTTGCTCCCTCACAGGTTTTTTGGAAACATGTATAGTTTTTATTTTTTTACAAATAACATTGTTATTTGCGTCATACTTTAAAAACACTGTTACTATATTATGTTCATTTACATTTTATTTTGTATATTTTAAGGCTCTGTATCACAGAGATCATCGTCTATTGTAAAAGTGTTTTTTCGGAACCACAAAATTTCATTAGTACATTATGCAAAAATCCACTATTTGTTTTATGTTTTCATTATCATAGAAATATCATTAGGTAGTTCTTACATTATTTTTTTACCATAAAAACTCAGGTTCAATTCTAGAATTATCATAATTTTATGGCTTCTAATTAAATGACGAATTTTGTAGAAAGAAGTTAATTCCATGAACAAAATATTTTTATTTCAAAATTACGTAAGCAGGTATGAGTTTATACTGAAACCTACTTTATTGTTTATATTTATGTACACGAGGTCGACCAAGTCATACCAATTCTATTACGATTACATTACCTCTTATCTACTTTTAGGTATATACTGCAACACGGTCATATTATACAATAAATCAGTAAAAATAAACAAGATACATAGAAAACGTGTAAAAAATTGTATGTAAAATATATAGCTGTATATAATTTATAAATATACTAGAATTGGTATGACTTGGTCGACCTTGTGTGCCTAAATGTAAATAACAAAAGTAGTTTCAGTATAAATTCATACCCGCTTACATAATTTTGAAATGAAAATATTTTCTCCATGGAATTAACTTCTTTCTACAAAATTCGTCATTTAATTAGAAGCCATAAAATTATGATAATTCTAGAATTGAACCTGAGTTTGTATGGTAAAAAAAATGTATAAGAATTACCTAATAATATTTCTATGATAATGAAAACTATAAAACAAATAGTGGATTTTTGCATAATGTATTAATGAAATTTCATGATTCTGGAAAACACTTTTACAATAGACGATGAATTCTATGATACAGAACCTTAAAATGTACAAAATAAAATGTAAATGAACATAATATAGTAACAGTGTAGTAACAGTTATTAAAGTATGACGTAGTGTTTACGAAGTAGAACAAAAACAAAAGAAAAAAAGTTGGATTGCCCCTGAATTAATTTCGAATAGGCCACCGAACATGCGCGTCGCTGTTTCGTTAGGTGTCCACACGTTGGACAGGGTGACGCAAAGAGTGAGCAAGGAAAAGGAAACAATTTATACAAGGGAAACGGGATGATTCAGTTTAATTATGGTATTGGGGGTCCCCGTGGTCGATTCGGTCTGGTGCAATCACCACAGGGCATAAATTACAAAGTTTGGGGGCACTTAAAACCAACTTGAAATTACGTGACGATGACGAGGGTGCCCTGTGTGATGTCGAGCTGGTGCCACGGTTATAATCGGTCAGCGTTGTGTGACTGACAGTGTGTCAAGTTTATTTAGCCAAACCGTGGTACTTGCTTCCCTCAGACGTGGAGGTCGACAAGATCGACGCAATGTCGAATGAAATGTAGGTTAAAAAAATACAACACAATGTTTGAATAAAAATAAAACAACTGATTTTATTCACTGTTCTTTACAATGATTGGCTACCGCAATGGCAAAACACCAAACAAAAACAAAAGAAAATGAAAATTGAGAATTTTAGTACGACGAAAAAGAGAAAATTTTATTAATTTTGTTAAGCATGTGAGTATACACAAGTATTAGCAATATTAGGTTATGAGACGGATAATGATAAAAGGAACGGAAAACAAAAGCAAAGAGATTAAAAATTGATTATGGAGCGCGCGGAAATGAGGAAACGCCAACCGCCGATAACAACTTTTACGCGTTACAACAACCAGTGAACAGAACTTTGCTACTTACGTCCCATTCACTACTCACACTATATTCGCCCTTCAAAAATGTACTAAATACTTCTATAGAGTTTAGGAACTTTTGAAAAAAATCTGGAAAGTCATAAAACGCTCTTGAAGTGATTTTTAAAAATCTATTTAATTATTTTTAAATAATTTGTGTGATACCTTTACCGTATCAATTCGCATGCTTAATTTTTTCATCCACATATCAGTCAATTATTCAGCAGCAAATCGTTTTATTTCACTAATAAAATTGGTTTCGTTCAATGATTCTATTGCTGTAGACTGTAGTTATAGTGACATTTGAAACCTTATTGATGTATGTCAACTTTGACTTAGTTATTTCGAAAGTAGGCAAAAATCTGCTTTCATAATATTTGATCATTATTTCGATTTGCTTCATTACTTTATCGATAGTGATATTCGTATGCCTTGCAATAAAACCGTATATAATCCATTCTGAATCAGCCATTATTAATAGATTCTGTTGATTTAACAAGATGCGACATCCACTTCGTGATTGTGATTCTATTATTCGAACATTTTCTCTCTTATACACCATTTTAGAAAGAATAATGTGGTTGTCAGAGAGAAATGAAATGTTGGCATTTTTTTCGGAATTCTCTAGGATGTTTGAAAATATGTATCTCATTAACGAGTAAACTCTCTTTTAGTAATTCACAGTTATACTCACATACTGAGATGGCATAATAATATTTACCATTACATTAAATTAATTTGTTGGGTAAAGTCCTATTTGTATAAACTTGCGTTCGTTGAAGTCCAGTGTATAACTCGTGCTTGCAATCAGATCGTTGGGAGGTGTTGGTGGTACATAGGTGTAGTTTTGCTTCTTGTAAACTGCTACATTACCTTGAATTGATCCAGCCATTACAAAAGATTTTATGTACATAATTATCACAATAATGTAAAAACTTAGGAAACTGTGTAAAACTATTTTTTCTCGCACTGTTGTAGTGAACTAAACTGGAAAGTTGGCCTACTCAACATGACTCTCACCCTCACCCATTCATTGTTCTAGTACATAGGTTTCAATACAACTACCAACAAGTAACTGTTTGAATAATTCAATACAATAACTGTTTTTCCCTTATTTCGATAAATAATTTTTAAAACACAATCACAACGTTATTTTAGTACGGTCCGGTGTAAGAAAATAAATATGAAATTATTTTAAAAAATAATGCCGATAATAAAATGTATATCACCTTTTCAAAAAGTTTTAAATGAATATACAACAGAAAACAGTGCTGTGGGGTCAGGGTATAGTTAGGGAACCTAAACGGACAATTTATTGACCAGAGCGGAAATATTTTTCTAAATTTTATATAATTATTAAACATTGTATATATTTAGTTAAAAATTAGACCAATACAAGAAGATTCGACGAAGTCACAAAATAACATAGGTAATTTAAGGTTATTACTATATTATTTGACAATTTGAAATTTAACATTTATTTTCTATCTACTTTTATAGCACGGGCTGTGTACTCTATTCTATTGGGCTCACCCAAGTTTACGTGTAAGTACACTACTTAACCCCAGAGAATTTAAAAAAAAAACCAAGAACTTTCTCTGTAGAGTACACACTGAATTCTATGCCCCGCTTAAAGCTACGTTCTTTAGAATTAAATTTAAGGGGTGCGCAAAAAAATTATGATATTAATCAAAAAAAATATTTAAATTTTGCACTTACCTTATTTTTAATTGCCAAATCGACTGCGCCAAATGATGTTGTCGTGGTGAAGGGTTGGGGTAGTTGTTTTAATTAAGGTAAACAACGGTTGTCGTACCACGGTTGATCCTTATTGATTACACATATAAAATAATGATATCATGTTTATATAAACATAGAGCCCGTGTCCATGGTAAAACGGAAGTGGCATTTTGTTGTCCAGCGGGCGGCGGCGTTTCCCACCGGTTCACGCTGCCGGTGCGCGACCTGACGGACTATAATATGGTAAAGAGGGATGCTGTCGCCATCCAGCGGTGACGGATGTAGTTAGCATCCGCCATCGCGACCGCGTCAACTTATACGGCCGCCTACCAGCTAATATCTGTGACCGACCCGGTCGCCAGCCAGCTACTAGCATAACATAAAAGATGTCATCGAAATAATAACAAGTCACCGTCGTAATGCAAACGATTTGGTCCAGAACATATAATTAAGACTACAGCGTGATCAACTTATCGCGAACCACTCAATATCTCACTAGGTTTAATTAATAATTGAATTTTTTTTTCCATTATGTTTTTATACAATGTGATCTCAGTTTCTTACATATTTGTTTTGTTTTTACCCCACTAAAACTTTAAACTGAAACTTTTGAACTAAAATGGCAAATACATTTCAAAAACCAGATTTAGACAACTATTTTTAAAGTTATAAGAGTTTAAATGTTAGGATGGGAGGGGAAGTGCGATTAAGAAAAGCGCGCAGATAAAAATAATAGGTACTACACTCCCACCTTTCCACCTGCCCTAAACTTGATACTTCAATAACTTAATTAATTTCTAGTTGGCCCAACTAATTGTTTTTAATGAGAAATTTATTTATCAATAATATTACGACTTGAAGCTCGGTATAATATTATGTTAACATTTTGAGTTAAAGTGATCGAATAATATCAGGAATAATTACAATATTAGACAATAATTTCATACAACGCTAACCAAAATTGGTGGCTCAGGTGTTTTTTTGAAACATGTTAGGTTCTTGTTTTTTTTTAAATAACATTGCCATTTGCGTCATACTTTAATAACACTAATTCTATATAGTTTGAAAAACATTTGTTAAATAATGTATATTATATTCATTTGAATATTTCTTTGCCATATAAGTTTCCAAAATAGTTAATTGTAAATGTTTTTAAAAATAAAAACAAATAATTAGAATAATTTTAGAAAAAAAGTGTCTTATCCTTAATGAACCATCTGTATTCAACATAAAACATATATTTGATATATTTATACTATTGATTTGTATACTACCCTCCTACACAAATAGAATATATAAACTTAGTCCAACTTAAACTATGATTAATGTAGGGACACGTTTAATTTCAGTTGGCCCAATTAAATTTTTTATTAGAACAACTAGTTGTTTAGTTATTTCCACTAGAAATGTATTAAGTCCCTTTAATAAGCGTACTTTTAGTAGGACCAAATTTGAATAACTCAGTTCAAATAGAAATGAATTGTTTCCTTATATTAACCATAGTATTCGTTGAACCAACTTAATATTTTTGGGAGAGTTGCTTAATCACCGTAATTTATAGGTTTAATAATATATTTAACATTTTGACTTATTGTATATGAAAAATATCATGAATACTTGAAATATTGGACAAATATTTTATGCAACGATAACCAAAATTGTTTACAGTTAACAAAATATTTTATCCGGCTCACGTGTGTTTTTTGAAACATGAACGTTCTGTTGTTTTTTAAATAACATTGCCATTTGCGTCATACTTCAATAACACTATTTCTATATACTTTGAAAAATATTTGTTAAATAATGTATATTATATTCATTTGAATATTTTTTCGCAATATAAGTTTCCGAAATAATTAATTGTAAATGTTTTTAAAAATAAAAACTAAAACTTTCAACCAGAAATGTATGTCCGAAGATACTAAAAAAAAAAAAGTTTTTATACGACGAACTAGAATATTTTTAGAATAAAAAATGTCTTATCCTTAATGAATCATCTTTGTATAACAGAAAACATTAATTTGATTTATTCTTACTATTGATTTGAATACCACCTTTTTATTTTTTATTTTAACAGATGAATGTGATTTCGAGGCCATCCACATAATTTATTGTATCTAACAATTTATAAACATTTGTTTGAGAGGGTTTTCCACACAGGCTCTCTGCATTTGGGTTAATATACATATTTTATCCTTACAAACTGACACACCCCAGTGGGACGGGGCTCCGTCACAATATTCACATTAAGTCCCGATAAATTTTTATAACAACATTTCTTGCTGATAATTTGTACAATTTGTTTTTAATTTACACGCTACGTTCTTACAGCCATTAGGCGGTGACTTCTCGGGCCGATGACGCACGCACCCGCTACCCTTGACTGTCACGTACCTTTGTTTGTCGTTGCCTGGCCTGTTTTGCCTCTTCCTTCTCCCTAACGACGATTTCCACAAAACCGGCCACGGCATTCCAGCCTTCGGGGTCGGTAAGAATTAAAAATTACCGACATATTATATTATATTGTCTTATTGACAATACTTTATATTAGCTGAATATAGTTCAAATGTATAATTTGTTAAGTTGTATAAAATAATTATTTATATTATACAAAATATGGGGATTTTTGTGGAGAATTACTCTTTTGCTTGTATAATATAAAATTTGGTAAATGCTAGTTCAAATTTTTTTTTTGCCTGATTTTTTTTGAAATTAATGCGATTGATTGAAGTATACTTGTTTCACGATTTCTTCTTACCATTATTCTCCCTACAATTCTTAGTTATTGTCAAAAAACAATATTTATATATTACGTTGGAATATTTTAAATATTGGTCAATTTTTTTTTAACGTTAACCCAAATTGTTTATTACTAACGTAATGTTTACTCCATCTAACAGGTTTTTTGGAAACATTTCTCGTTTTGTTTTTTACAAATAACATTGCCTTTTGCGTCATACTTTAATAAAACTGTTACTACATAGTTTGAATAACATTTGTTAAACTATGTATATTATGTTCATTAACATTTTTTTCTGTACGTTTTAAGATTGTGTATCGCAGTTTTCATTGTCTATCGTAGAAGTATTTTTCAGTATAACAAGTTCATTAGTACACTATGCAGAAATCAACTATTTTTTTTTTATTTTTTATTATCATGGAACTATCATTGGGTATGTCTTATTTGTATTTTTTTTACGATACATTCTCAGGTTCAACACTATAATCGTCAAAATTGTATGGATTCTAATTAAATGACAAATTATATTGAGAAACTTATTTCATTTAAAAATTATGTAAGCGAGTATGAATTTATATTGAAAACTAATTTTGTTTTTTATATTTAGTCACACAGGGTAGACCATTTCCAAGTATGTTTATAAATTATATACAGCTATACATTTTACATAGAATTTTATACACGTTTTCTTTACACCTTGTAAATTTTTACTGATTTATTGTATAATATGACCGTGTAGTACTATACACCTAAAAGTAGAAACAGTACCGTTACAGATTACATTCCTTATACGTTTGTTTTTGGAGTATATACACGGTACCAAAATAAAACAAAATATTTAATAAAACTAATGATTAATTTATTTTATAATAAAAGAGACGAGGAAATACCAATACGTGTAAATTAGCATAATTAATCAACTATTCTATTGCTATACAAAACGATGTCATTTTTTTGTTATTAAACAGTAATTTTATTTGTGTTATTTGTTGGTTAGGTGAAAAAGAGTCGAAAAATAACCTTGGTAATTTTACGTTGCTTTTTATTAATACAAGCGCCAAAACGCCAAATACGATCATCCTTTTGGAGCACTCCCGCGCGGAACTTTTTGAATCTCACTCTGCGTGTCTGTTCCAACGAAAAGAACGTTTTTCGTCAGTTAATCAATTTTTTATTGTTTATTTTGATCCTTTCATGTAAATTGATGATCATATTTTTAGTTTATTCCTTTAATATTTTTTAACATTTTTTGTTTATAGTGTCATTGGACATAAAAAAAAATTAGTTTCTTATGTAAAATAATTGATTTTTATTTTTAAATTAAGTCATTAAATTGAGTTAACTTACTTTTTCGTGTTTCCCAATATTTAAGAATTAGTTTCAAAATATTCCGCAGGAAGTTTGCCCCGAATGATCGTTCATATTTGGCATTTTGGCCCATATACAGGATGTCATGTAAAGTTCTACCGAGCTTCAAATGAGACATTCAGGATGCTCTAAGGGCACAATAAATGGTATCCATTTTTTTTAATTTTAAATAGAACTCGTATCTCACTAAAAATGATCTTACGAAAAAAATAATTTCAGATTTGAAATCAGAAGAACAACAAGATTTTTTCTCCTGATTCCAAATCTGACCATTGTTTAATGAGATACGAGTTCTATTTTAAATCATTTTTAAAGTTAAAAAAAATGAATACCATTCATTGTACCCATAGAGCATCCTGAATGTCTGATTTGAAGTTCGGTAGAACTTTACATGACACCCTGTATATATACATATATATTTGCTTTTATTACTCTGTGCTTACTTATATATACGCATACCGTTTGAAAATGGTAATATTTCTAAACAAGCATCCAATATTAGTCCTGACTTGTTATTTAGTTATTTCCACTAGAAATGTATTATGCCCTTATATTAACCATAGTTTTAGTTGGACCATCTTTGTATTTTATTGAGATTTACTTATTCACCTTAATTTATAGGTAACACAAGTTACAATTTGTGCCTAATATATGTTGTTATTTAATGGGATTGCTTTTAATAAGAAACTTATTCATCACTGATTTTATGAGTATAAGCTCGTATAATAATATATTTAACATTTTGCCTTATTGTGTTCGAAAATATTAGAAATATTGGATAATTATTTTATGCAAAGCTAACCAAAAGTGTTTATTGCTAACGAAATGTTTTATCAACCATACGTGTTTTTTAGAAACATGCTACGTACTATTATTTTCCAAATAACATTGTCATTTTTTAAATTATGTATTTATTTGTGTTCCATACGCTCAATAGGGAAGCGAGTGTACATTATAAAACTCAAACAAAAACCGCATGACATTATTGAAACATAATATGTTTTAGTTTAACAACATTATCGTAAAAAAAA